TTCCGACGAATGTTCCGACAAATTTTTAAATTTCGTCGGAAAATCCGTCGGAAATTGGGCATTAAATCTATTGCCGTTTACTTTTCCCGGGCGTCAGATAAATTAATGTAACTAATTCCGATGAATTTTCCGACGAAATTTAAAAATTTGTCGGAAAATGTTCCCGCGAGATTTAATTTCCGACGAATGTTCCGAAAAATTTTTAAATTTCGTCGGAAATCCGTCGGAAATTGGGCATTAAATCTATTGCCGTTTACTTTTCTCGGGCGTCAGATAAATTAATGTAACTAATTCCGACGAATTTTCCGACGAAATTTAAAAATTTGTCGGAACATTTGTCGGAAAATGTTCCCACGAGATTTAATTTCCGACGAATGTTCCGACAAATTTTTAAATTTTGTCGGAAAATCCGTCGGAAATTGGGCATTAAATCTATTGCCATTTACTTTTCTCGGACGTCAGATAAATTAATGTAACTAATTCCGACGAATTTTCCGACGAAATTTAAAAATTTGTCGGAACATTCGTCGGAAAATGTTCCCGCTTCAGTATTTCTGATAGAAAAGTAAAAAAAAATAAATTAATTCAATATACCCTAATTCCGACGATTTTCCGACAGAGAAAATAATGTCGTCGAAAATTAATTCAACATCAAAATCACGAAATTGATTCAATATATAATCACCATCATACTCAGGTGGCGGTGGATCACGGATACTCTTGTTCTTGCGGAACAACGTCTTACTACGACGATATGGATGATTTTGTCTTAGAAAACGACGATGACAATCAAACCAACTTGATTTCCGGCCATGTCTTAGTTGGAAGGCATCTGTATTATCTTGACAATATGGACATGACAGTCTTCCATGAGTTGTCCAACCCGATAACATGCCATATGCGGGAAAGTCACTAATAGTCCACATCAATACAGCACGCATGTTAAAATTTGTCTTTGTGGAGACATCATATACCCAAACCCCTTGGTACCATAACATTTTTAACTCTTCTATCAGCGGCTGTAGGAACACATCAAGTGAATGACGAGGGTGGTTTGGACCAGGAATCAAAATGGTTAAGAAAAGAAATTCTCTTTTCATGCAAAGGGAAGGTGGGAGATTGTAAGGGGTGACTATTACTGGCCACAAAGAATATTTTCTACCTGACTTTCCAAATGGATTGAATCCATCCGTGCATAAACCAAGATAGACATTCCTTGGTTCATTAGCAAAGACTGGATATGTAGAACAAAAATGCTTCCAGGCCGATGCATCCGATGGATGTGAAATCTCCCCGGTGAATTCATGTTCAGCGTGCCATCGCATACCCTCCGCTGTCCGATCTGACTGATACAACCTCTTCAACCTATCAGCCAAGGGCAAATACCACATACGCTTATATGGTATTTTGTTTCGCCCACTAGTAACCTGAAACCTTTCAGCACCACAGAAACGACATTGAGATATATTTACGTTATCTCCCCAAAAAATCATACAATTTTCTCTACACACGTCAATCATTTGGAATGGTAAACCTAGCCCAGATACCAATTTTTGGATTGCGTTGTATGAAACTGGAGATAAATTATCTTCCGGTAGATAATCGTGGATAAAATCAGCCCACGCATCAACGTAATCTTCACTTAAATTGTAGTCTGTTTTGATGTTCATCATACGTGTTGCGGCGGATAAAGGAGAATGACCCTCTCTGCATCCTGCATATATCGGATGATTTGCAGCATCTAACATATCGAAAAATCCCTGTGTTTCTAAGTTGGGTTCCTCCGCAACATTAGTATTTTCTACGTTATCATGAAATTCACCACTACCAATTCCAATTACATTATCTTCTTCCTGGTGAATATGCTCATCGCTAATTATAACGTTTTCATCTCTTCTTTCACGACTACTACTAGGACCCGATCTAAAATCCTCCCCGTGAGAAAACCATATATAATATCCTGGTGTAAAACCTCCCCAATATAAATGATTCCAAACAATGTCTTTTGCAAGAAAATGATCATTACAACATTTGACACAAGGACATGCCATAATACCTTCGATACGCGTCATTTCTTGATTAGATGCAAACTGCATGAATTCCATTAAACCTTCCTTGTACTCCTGCCTCATAGCTCCGGTCTTATCATCTAATCGATTATACATCCACTCTCTAATTTTATAAATATTATGAGAAGACATTTTTTTTTCCAAGATTTTCTTGTGTGTGTGTTTTTTTTTTTCAACTATTTTCTTGTGTTTATGATTCTTTCGTTGTCTAGTATATATATAAAACTTTTCCGACTAACATTTTGTCGGAAATTCGTCAGAAATTCTAAAGTGGTTACCTTTAATATTTCCGACGAACTTCCGACAAAATATCGTCGGAAAGGTTTGTCGGAAATTCGTCGGAAATTCTAAAGTGGTTACCTTTAATATTTCCGACGAATTTCCGAAATAATTTTTTTGATCAAGCTGTCGTCGGAAATTCGTCGGAAATTCTAAAGTGGTAACCTTTAATATTTCCGACGAATTTCCGACAGAACTTCCCGACGACATGTTTGTCGAAAATTCGTCGGAAATATTAAAGGTAACCACTTTAGAATTTCCGACTAATTTTTCCGATCAAGTTGTCGGGATTACGTCGGAACATGTGCAGTGAATAATCACGTGTTTACCTAGTTTTTTCCGACAAATTTTCTGACAAGTTTCCGAGCAGTTTCCGATGACATTGGATTGTCGGAATTTTCCATGGTTTCCGACAAATATTTCCGACGAAATTCTGACGAATTTTTAATCGTCGGAAAAGTTTTTATGTTTCCGACGACTTTCCGACGAAATATTATTTTCTTGGATGTTTGTCGGAAATTCCCCGGAAATCTGTCGGAATAATTCCGACTAAACATTTCGTCGGAAATGTTCGTCGGAAATTGCTATGTTTTCTTGTAATATTACTTATCCATGGACCAGCCATTGATAATGTGTATATGTATATTGTTTACCCTCACATAGTCACATGCGCATTAACTCGTTATTTACAAGATTTTGAACTTTCTTTGGTGCAACAAATGTAAAACCAGCCCACAAAAATAAGAGAAAATCAGTCCATATCAAATAACACAATAGTTTTTTTTTTGATAGAATCAAATAACACAATAGTTTACAAACTAAGGGCTTGATTGGTTCTCCCGCTAGAACCCTCCTAGCAGTTGCTAGCAGTTGCTAGCGGTCGGTTGCTGTTGTTAGCGGTTGGTACCAATCATAGAAACCGCTCCAAACCGCTTTAAACCGCTCGAGATCGTTGAATTTCAAAAGCTCCTTCCCGCAAGCGTTTGCGGCTGCGGGCGGTAGCGGTTGGATTTACTTATAATTATTAGAAATTATTATAAATTATATTAATCCTATGTATATCTTTCATCTTTGTATCGCGTTCTCATCAGAAACCCTAATCAATATTCTAAAACCTTATTCTCTCATTGTCTTACACCCAAACTGATGAAAATCAAGAACCAAACGTAAGTATCATATAGTATCATTTTATTCATTCACCACTTCATGTGTAACTCTTTGAATATTTTTCATCGCATTGTTTTTTTCTTTTCATTATGTATTGCTTTGCTTTTTGATTGAATATATGTTTCGATTTGTTTTCTCGAATGGAAAATCACTTGATTTTTGATTGAATTCAACGTTATTTACAGTTTGTCCCATTACTTGATGCGATTTTTGGAGTTAAACCAGCATAAAGTACTATCTTGTTACAAAATTTTTTTATTTTTGAATAATTATTTAGTACTTTATTTATGGTTTTAATTATTAAGCATGTTCAATTTTTCTAATATTATCATAATAATATATTGTTGTTTTTTTCATTCTTTTCTTTGTAATTATATTTTTTATTTTTTTGGTCATTTTTCTATTTAACTGCTACCGCACCCGCTGGTTTATCAGTCATAAAACTCCCGCAAACGCATCCAGTTTCAAACGCTAAACCAGTCGTTCAAAACACTTGGTAACGTTTGAAACCGCAACCGCCCGCTTCTGCAAACTCCCGCAACCGTAACCGCAACCGCTGCGTTTAAACCAGTCAGGCCCTAACTCGTTTCCTTGTCAAAAAAAAAAAAAAAAAAAAAAAAACTCCAAGCAAATTTTATGGATGTAAACTGGGAATACGTTAAAGTATTTTCATTAACATTCTGTTTATTATACAGAATATTATAATTGGTTGGAATTAGATAAAATATCTTTTAATTTGCTTTCTGAACGAGATAATATATGTTTTTGGATGATGAAACTTCCGTACTAATCACTAAGGCATGTTACATTTGGCAGCTGATCTTTTGTAAGAAAATTTCTATTTCTTGACTCATTGTTTTTAACATATTTCAATATCACTTATTTGGTTGATTGATACATTATATTATCCGTTTACAGTTTAATAAAGTCTGAAAGAAATTGTTAAAAACAAGGGACATAATATATTTTCTACCTAAATTTATTTTTAAACATAATATATTTTCTACCTAAATTTATTTTTATATGTCTCCCTAATAATATTTTTTTGTCGGTGGGATTCTTTTTCTTTCATTTCTCTCTTTTGTTAATTTACAATTCCATCATCCACTTGGAGGTCCCAAACAAAAAAAAATAACCTTCAAGTTATGGGCCAACATAAATTAGGCCTAAAGAAAAAATGACCTCAATATTTAAACATGTCCCGTCACCGTTAATGGGCCACATAAATTGGGCCTAAACAAAACGACTTCAATACCATCAACCATCACCGTCACGTCACTGCAAAGATTAGATCTTTCCGGAAGAAGAGAAGAATGAGGCCGATGCAGCTTGACATGTTATCGGAGATGGATGATGCAGGTTCTTCAATGGCCATGGACGTTGATGATCTCGAAGCTATGGAGATTTTTAGCGAAGGAGGAGGTGCTTCAGAGAGTAAGCTCGCCGACGCTGATTTCTTCAACAAATTCGAGGATGATTTCGACGATGCCGATATCAACTGATTCCGGTTAAAATTTCTTCTCTATGATTTCAATTTTCTTCGGAAATCGATTAGTAAGTGTATTAGGGATTTCAAATTTATTTGTTTGTGATGTGAAAAACTTATTTATGATTCCTAAAATCTTTGATTTCTAAGCTCACGATTTAGTTTGATTTGGGTGTTATTGTGATTTGTGTGATTGTTTTTTTGTTAATTCTCTGCACAAATTTAGAATGTGAGATGCGAATAGACATAAGTTTTGGTAATGGCTTAAGATTTGAGTGAATTGATTCATAAGGTTAAATCTATTCCATTGTGATTGCTTTGTGATTTCACCATCTAATGGTTTCTGAAACATGTGTTGATGTGTTGCGTTGTGTTGTTAGTTTCACAAACTCGTTAGGGCTAGATGATCTTCTAAGTTGAGGTTACATTTCGACGAGGAATAAAGCTAGGAGTTGTCCCGAGTAATATCGATATGATAGGTTAAATCCTCATGTAAGCTGTGTAACTATTACAAACGCTAATGGTTAGGTGAACTAGGGAATTCATAGGAAAACACATATTCAAATGTTGGAACGAGCTTACACATACAACCAACAACATAAGTTTTTGATAATGGCTTAAGATAGGTAGTTTCCTGCCTCCCCCCGTTAGCTCGAGACATCATCAGTCATTGATTTATACGGATATGGTATTCTATTCCATGTTGATTGCTTGTAAATTACCATCCCCCGATCTCAGAGTTATATGTTGCATTGTGTTGATCATATGGTATGCAGAAAGCAGTGTATAATTCCCCTGTCCAAGCTCTGTTGTTGCTTTGTGTCATGTCCAAGCTCCCCTGTCCAAGCTCTGTCCCCGGTCTTTTGTAGATGGAAATAGTGTGATCGTTGTTCACCTATCGTAGAAGTGAAAAGGCGGCTAAGCATAAAGATGTCAGTCTCGAGCAGTTGTTTGTTGCTAACGTTGCGATCTTATGTATGTGATGTAGCCAAAGTTCACGAGGTTCTTAAGTAATCGTAGTATATCGGAACACTCAAGTTTTTTGTATCTTCTTAGTGTGCATAACAAGATGAGTGGTGTGGTTGACACAAATGAGCGTGACCTCTCTTAAGAAGATTTACGATTGATCCATCTTAGCGGTCAGATTAACCAACCATGCAAAGAAAAACCCAATACATAAACCACATCGACACTTGATTAGTGTAATGAGAATTGAGAAAACTAAATACAAGATAATATTCAATGTTATTTCTTCAATTTAAGCAAGAATTTGATTTCATATTGGATCTTAACAAACAAATACTCCCTCTGTTCCTAATAGTTTGATGTTTTGAGATTTTTTTTGTTCCACAAAGTTTGATGTTTTGTAATAATATTATTATTATTTTTAATTGTAACCAATAGGAAGAGGAGAGAAGTGAAACTAAAATTATTAAACAAGCAAACAAATAATTGAATAATATAAAAATTAGTTTTTCTTAATTTATGTGCAAAACCCAAAACATCAAACTTAAGGAGTATGAAAATGTTCTCAGATTAAAATGTTATCTATGCAAAATTTATGGACCCGGTCCTGCTATAAAACACGCAAAACATGTGCTTTAACCAATTATAGTAAGGTTCTCTTATAGTAATTACTTAATCCGAGGACCACATAATTAAAATCTCATTTTCGTGGTTTACTTTATGCAACTCTCGTAATGAGTTGTGTTTTGATCGATAATTCCATTTCTTAATGTTAGACTTGTATTTTCTTTCTTTACTTTTCTTTAATAATTTTTTTTCTATTTCATAAAATTAACTTTCTTTTTCTTTTGTCATTTTTTTTTGTATGGTTATCTTATATTTCGTTTAATGACTATCATCAAATGTCTTGTTTGATCCTACTTTTTTTTTTTTTTTTTTTTTTGGATTTTACTTTATTTTTACGAGACCCAATTTTTTATAACAAACAAAACTCATGGTATAAATTTAATATTGACTCATAATACTATTGTTTTTATCTAATATATTTTTCTATAGTTTTTAATATTACATTCATAAGATAACTAAATGGTTAATTTGCCTAATAATCATATTTGGACCAAAAACTAACAAACTAACACCTTGATACAATATATAACAAAGTAACCATTTGTATATAAAAAAGGAGTTGACATTCTCTTCTTCTTCAACTTGATGTCCTCTTTTCCTATGTGGAGAAATAGAAATTTGTATCATATATCATCATTTTGCAATTAAATTTCTTCGTATATTTATTGGTTCAATCTTGCATAATATACAGAAAAAAAAAAATCTTTATTTCTTCGGATATGTTATAGTTTGAATGTTTTTAAATTGACAATTTTCTATTTTTTTAAAAAATAATAAGTGATTCCGAGTGTAAACATGTTGTTTTTACAAGGAAAAATAGTACTCACTCTGTATCATAATGTTTGATTTTCTGATTTTTGCACACATATTAAGAAATATTTAATACAATGTTTTTTTTTCCGCTAATACAATGTTTTATTAACACTATTTTTCACTTCATTAATGTTCTATACCCAATAAAAATTAAGATATGTTCTCATTTTTAATGAAATTACATTTTTCAAAAAGAATTAGTTGTGATTTAAAAATAAATATATTGATTAGAGTGTAGAAAATCAATCATTGTGAAACAAAATAAAAATCTAGAAAATCAAACATTATGATATAGAGGGAGTACTTTGTTATGTATAACATGTTTTGACATATAATAAATTATCCGATGTTTTTTTTTCAAAAATTTATTGTTCCAATTTAAATTTTTTAATTATAGTATACGAAATAATTTGTTGTTTTTTAGAATCGAGCAACTGAATCAATTTGTATTATTAAACTGAAACCAAAATGTATGATATTTTACTTTGATATTTTTGTGTGATTATAAAAGAAGCCATTTTATGGTAACATCGACGTAATCTCTTAAAATCTCCAATAAAATTTACTGAACCAGTATGATTGTGTAAAGTTGGGTGTCAATTTGTCATATCGGTTTAATAAAAGAAAAATCAAAATTTTAAATAGTTAGAGAGATACCAGTGTCTTTATCATAGGAATTTAAACCAGGTGGTCGTATCCTAGTTAGAGAGATACCAATGTCTTTATCATAGCTATGCAAATCAACATTCTACAGTATTTTATTTTTATAAGATTTGACAAAAAAATTTTTACCATAATGACTATTTTTTCCTTACTTAGCTGATCATGATATAAGTTTGTACAAAAATTGTTTATCTATTAAATCATGTTGCTCTTCAAAATTTGTTTATGATAGTACATAAATGTGCACTGTAAATATAAAATTTATTATCTTTTGCAGGAATGATTGTGATAAATAATTGAAATGTTTGTGAGAAAGAATTGAAATTTCAAATTATTACATTCATAAAACTTTTCGAGATTGTGAGACAAGCATGTTTCAACCACTTTATAAATATTATTGGATAAAAACTCGTATCATATACATTTAAGATGCAAGAACAATAATGAAAGTTTTTAAAAAATTACATGTCTATATTTATTATGCATTCACTATCTTATTCTATATATGATCATATTTTTCTAGTGTTTCGTAGGATAAACACTTTAGCTTAGTGACTAAACTATAAAAATTTTGAGTTGATATTAAAATGCAAAACATATGAAATTTGAAAAGCATAATTATAGAATTTTTTTTAGTTTGATTAGTATTAAATACTCCCTCCGTTATTTAATATATGATTTTTGTTGAAAATATTTGGTTTAAAAAAGATGGATTTGCTCACTTTTCTATATACAATTGTTAATGATAAATTATAAAATTCAAGAAAAATAACTAAACATTATTGGTTTAGAGTTGTTGGAAATTATAAACCACAAAAAATAATGTATTTTAATATGTTTGTTTATTATATCTGAAAAACTAGAAAATCATATAATAAAGAACAGAGGGAGTATCAATTATGTGGATTAACTAGAGATCAGAGTTGGTACTTGGGAAACACTACTTTGCTTACTTAAGTTTTATAGTTCATTAATTTATCGAATTTTACTACTTAACCAAAACACAGAAGACACATAAGCTTTGTGTAGACCTAAGTGATTCTATAGGCGAGTACGCATCATCATAAATAGTATGAGTTAGCATTATAACACCATGCGTGTTAGAGGTCTTCAGAAGACCTGTGATTTAGGACCAACTGGTTCAGATTCACAACACAAGTACTACTGCATATAACACACTAGAGACTCCTTGAGCCATTGCATACTCATCAAACAAATTGATAGTCATCGAGTTAGCTAGCTAGAATAGTGTTTTGATAGAAGTGGGCACACATAACTATCGTCAGTTAGATAGAAACAAGAACAAAGAGGGCAACAAAAGAAGAAAACAAGAGTATCAAATTTATCAGTTGTAACATGCGAAAATTACAGAGAAAGCTCCATGAATCACGAGCAGGAGCACTCGTAATGAGGAAAGAGCTATTGGTGACTACCACTAATACAACACAGATGAACAAAGTCTAGATTCTAGAACCAGAGAGAGCAATAAGATCCTTGTGACCAACAATAACCAATTACACTTGACTACTTACTGTACCAATAGCAAGAGCAACATCTTCATTAGTATGATGATCATCAATGTGAATGCCACCAGTAGCTCTTACATGTACATGGAACAATCCATGTGAAGCAAGTTGCTAAATCACAAACACTTAATCAAATTTCAAGACAACATATAAAATGAACACTTAAACCTTTGAAAATGTCATAAACGGATCAAAACTAATCAAACTTGAAGAAATTTTCAACTTCTCAAAAAATTGAATTGATACAGAGAAAGTTTTAAAGACGGAAACTTCATTAGTTTTGATCGCAGAATCAGTGTCTTCATTGCATGGGTCACAGTCTTCTTGACAAATAATGAAGCCCAAGTAAGAAAATCAATAGGCAAGAAAAAGAAGAAGAGGCTAAATTGATTAATAGTATACCTGTGTCAGCAGCAGACTTGGCATGTCTTGGTGCTAGCAGCTCTTTCTGTAACACATCAATACCAGGAAAGGCTAGTAGATTCATGGACCGCAATTCTTTCTTCAGAGAATCCTCGACATATTTAAACCCGAATTTGGATATCCAAACATGGCTTAAGTCAGCAGTTGCAGGGATAACAAGTAATTCAACTTTGAGATTTTGAAGAGTTTTCACATCAAAAGACATAGAGAACAAATTAGCAGAGTTTTACAGCAAGAATCTGTTTACCTCGCTACCTCGAAGTATAGAAGGAAAAAAAAAATAACTTACTGATTCAACAACGCTGAAAAGCCGGCGGCACATCCCTTGGTGTCTGTAGACATGCCGAGTTCCAATGAACTGCATCTCAGCTAAGCGGTTACCATGAAATCTAAAGAGAAAGGTAAAATATCATTAATAACATGAAGATCGCTTTAATAGGAAAAACATGCATCAAAACCAATAATCGAAATTCTAAAAGTGCATAAGATAAAACATGCACGAGTACATATTTACTGACACTAGCATTATCTCTGCCATCCTTTTTGTAGTTATCTCACATATAGGATTGAAACCAAAACAAAAGATTATCAGGAGATGAATAACCTAATAGATGCTGAAGCGACTATTTCATCGCCTCTCTCAAGAAGAGCAGTATAGAATCCACCAAAATTTAGCCGATTGAAGTTCGACCAAAGAAAAGCAAAGTTTAAGCAAAAGAACCAACACAAAAGCAATACCAAATAAAAATATTGTAGTATAAAAAACTTGAAGTGCTGAAAAGTTTACCCACAATTGTAAAGGACATTTCGTACAATATTTACCCCCACTCCTCCTGTCAATAATGGGGAGAAAGCATTCATCCATGACTGTCAGAGAGCTATGGCCAGCTTGGAATTGCTTTCCACAATATGAGGGTGTCCACCTAAGAATGAAATCTGAATCTGTACATTCCCTATGAACTAGAGACCACGAAAATCTAGCTTCCAACTCATGTTTGACACCGACGTACTTCTTGACACCTTCAAAGAGCTGTTAAATGAACAAGAAATTTCACTTAAACATAATGCTTTGGTAAAGGACAGAAAATACATGGGAACAACACAGGATATTAGACTCGTGTCTTTTAGAATTCAGTTATACCAGGATTTCGGCCACAACATGTCTAGGTTGAGTAAAAAAGGTACACTAGCCTAATTGAAGCAGGCAACACCCAATAATCTAATTGACAATTAATGGACGTTCAACATCTGCCGCCTAGAAGCTACACCACGCTTTTTAACTGAATGAAATTTGCAAGGGTTGAGAGACTTGAAAGAAAAGTACAGCTTTGCACTTCTTCCCACAAAAAGAGATGATTGGTTCAGTGGTGTCAGCTGGGGTAATATGACATGCATGATTTGTGATCTAGAAAGGGAGAATTCCAACATCAACTAGAGTCTAGAAACTAAAAACAAAACTGAGTAAAAACAGAAGTGGAATATTCAAGCCAGGGAAAGAATAAATGACAGTACATTTTTTCTCACACATTTTGCACCCACAGTTTGACTAACATCTTCGACAACTGCCCTACAGAATTTGCATGTACAATTGGGGCAATGCCAATCACCATGAGGAAACATCTGTAATTGAACCTCAAAAAGATCCAATCAGGCATCAGATGACCCTAAAACAACCCTGGTGTAGTTAAAAGTTAATGACAATTCAGTTCAATAGATAACTCATGACGAATTCCAATTTAATTCTCAATACATATGTTTTTGTTAAAAAGTAGAAACCATCTAGTGCAATGTAAAATTAACTGCAACAACCACCAATTTGACAATAGATTAAACAAAGCAGATTCAACATCTTCGAGTTCAGTTCTTAGAATCTAAAGATCCACCACCTGCAAATAAAAACGAAACAACACAGTGAATTCCTCAACTCTCTTTTTGAATATCAGATTCTCACACTTGGAATTTCTTACCTCAATTTCTCTTCTTCTTTTTTTTCTTTTGGTTTTCGTTTATGTTCTCCTTGGCCTCTTTTTCTTCCTTTTCCTTTTTCTTAAGAAGTGCCTCCAGTTGTATGATGCCCATTGCTACCTTGATAACTTGAATATGGAGATGGCAATCTCGTACAACTTTATAACTCGATTGCTTTTCATATTTCTCAACATCCAATTTAAAGTAATCGCTAACACCTTCGAGCGACATGTTATCAATTCTTCCATCAAAATTTTCAGCAAACCACTTTGTTGTATCTATCTCATATTTAGCAATAGGACATGCATGGAAATTAGCATTGAAAAGATTCTTCAAATCACTGAGATTTTTGTCATACCCCATCCAAATTTTGCCGTTGAGAATTTCGAAGACCCTACTATAGACGTTAGCATCGATTTCATTTCGAGCGACGGAAGTATCAATCATAAACCTCTGCACGGGCTGTTGTATGAGCGTGTTACGTTCAACGTTTATTGCAATGAAATCAAAGAAAACAATTTCGTCACCCATGATTTTGGATCTCGTCACCCATGATTTTGGATCTGTAAAAAATAAAGAAATTACAGATTGAATGAAATCCGTCAATAATAGCCTAAGCCTACCGATCGAAACCGTAGAAATCTAAGTGCCTCGTAGATCTGAACTACAGGCAAACCGGATATTTGTTAGAAATTTAAGACAAATATCTTATTATACAGATTGAACGATTTCTCGGCTTAATCCAACTCTAGACTCCAAATTTTTTGGATATTATACTCTAAACATTCAGGTACTTAAGAGATTTTGTCAAGTCGAGTCAAGTCGAGAACATTAAGAATCGTCTGAGATATTGAACAAAGTTAAGCGGTGAGTTTATCTTTCCAATTTCAAGACAAAGAGGGGCAAATTTTCCCAAAGTCAGTTGGGACAAAAAGCAACAATGATGTGTCCCTCTAATCTTTTGGGTATGAAACAAATGGAAGCTACAATTTCAGAGATTTTACCTGAAGAGATTATGTACTCTGTTGTTGCACAAGGATCAATCTGTAACCAATGAGAAGAATGCTTCCTCTCTCACTCTGTCTTCTTATCCAAATAAGAACTTGAACTGCAACAAAACAGAAACGAGAAACATAAGTCTACAATTGTACTCGAAATTTGAGTAAATCAAAACAAAAACGATTATAGGATTTTTTTGAAACCCTAATAAGTTGATTCGAAGAAACAAACATAGAGATTACTAAACCCTAAGATGTTAATTCAATTAATTTTACTCAAATCATGTGAAACGAGAGAAATAACGTCAATTAAACGCGATTTTTAAAAACACCAATCGAAGAGATTTCGAGTACTCTTACTCAAATCGAAACTTTGAAAACCACTAATAACTTAATTAAACGCGATTTTGAAACCCCTTAGAACTTAATTAAACGCGATTTTGAAACCCAGAACTTCAATCGAATAAATTTTGAACTCAAATCGAGATCGAGAGAGATGATCGATTTTGCAACTTTGAAATCGACGATCAAAACAAAGGATAAACGAAATTAGAAATTCAAAAGGGGAAGTAAAGAGAATCGAGTCTCAAGAAACGTACAGAACGGTTTCGTGAAATTGCAGAAAAATGAAATGAAAATATCTTTTAGATCTCTCGAAGATGGCAAAGTCTCGAACAGTAACTTCAACATGTGCCGTTTTAAAGAAAGTGTGTTTGTGTGCGTGTGAGAAGTGTGAGACGGCAGCCGTTATAAAATAATTAAATTACATAAAATTAAAACATGTAGACACATACCTATAAATTATAAACATGATGAGAGGTTTTTTTTTTTTTTTTTTTTTTTGATGTTAAAGAACATGATGAGAGTGAGCTATAGAACGAATAATCTTGAACGTTTTTTTTTGGCAGGTTCAAGTTCTTAGAACGAAATTCTAGAAATATAGTTTATAAAATTGACCATAATTTATGTATTTTGCTTGCTCGAATAACTGGAAGTAAGCCACCGAATAATTTAAAGGAGACACGCTAGTAAGTACAAAGTATATAGTATTATGGAAATGTTGTGAATTTTTTTGCTCTGGACCTCTGGTGTTGAAAATAATCGAAGCATGCATGCATGTGCCATGTATATAATCTTTTCTAGCTTTGTTTTTGTTTTTATACTAGGATCGGATCCGCGGTCCAACGCGGGAGAATATTGGTTTACATACGTTGATTTTAATAGTGCGTGTTTTAAGTTGAGCGAATCGGGTAGTGTACTTATAAATATTCATAATAAAGAATTGTAGAGAAAATGTTAAATTGTTTATAATTAAATCGATCATATTAATTATGATTAAAAATAGAATTTTATGTTTTAGAATTCTAAAATTAGATGATTCATAGGAATTAGAGCAGTAAAAATAAGTCAAAAACCGTGGGTCGAGCCCAAATCATCTCACTATGGGGCATATTTGTGAAAATATATTAAACCCGTAAATAAACGGGCCACACGGATTGATTCGCAGTGGATCATAGGTTTTAATCGGTTTTCGTCCGCGGGTTGGCGGATCAGCCCGCATGTTAGTATTTATTGATAAAAGTATAATTTATTCAACATTTGGTAATTTAAAAACTTTTAATAAATGAAATTATAATATTTATAAATATAATGAGATATAAAATTATTTCCTCTAATTTTTATTTATTTATTTATTTTAGTAGTATTTTAAATTTTCATTACTTTAAAATTATTTAAACAAAATCCACAGACAACCCCGCAAATCAGCATACATTCGCGGGACGGATTTGTGTTTCATATATGTTATCTGCGGGTCGTGTGGACCAACTAACAATATGTCAAAATATATTTTGCCTATCACAAAACGGGCTTAACGGGACGAATCAACTCGCTTTGACAGCTCTAGTGGGAATATTATTTAGTCATACAACAAAATAGAGTTTGGACATAGGAATAATATAATCTATATCCTATTTCTTAGATGAGGGATTGAAACATTGAAAGGTGAAATATAACGATTAAAAATTAATTATTATTTTTCATGATTCGCAAAATTTAATAAATATTTATCATCTTGTTGAATAATTCTAAAAATCATATTCAAGAAATCTTTATAATTTTAAAATTAAACTTCTTTGGTAAGCTATCAGTATGAAAATACCATAATTTCGTTTAATTTAATTAAATTAAAATTAGTTACATGGATTTCATATCTATTTAATTTACACGACCAAAATAAAAATATCTATTTAATTTATAAAATAGATGGGTTAGTTGTGATAAATTTTCTAGAAATCTTTTGAAGCAAGTAAGATATCTTTCAATTAATGCTAATTGGCTAAAATAAGCAAAATTAATGATAAAACGTTGATTGTTATAGAATTAGTTCCAAAAATATATGAACAAATATATTATACGTAATTAATGTATAGTATTGTTCGGAATATGCTTTTATAATTAGTTACCATAAATACAAACATATTTTATTTGATTTCAATAAATATTTTATTTTAGTTCGATTTTTCATTATTAAATATTAATTAGAAATCATATTCCAAAAAAAATTCAAATATCCGATTTTAGAATTTTGGGTCAATTTTCTGATTTTGACCCGACCCATTTGCATTTGTACTTCTCTTTTAATAGTATAGAGATTTTGTGATGATATTAGTGTTGCTATGTTGCTAAGAGAGATTGGTGGCATGCAGTGCCGGCCCTGTATAATATGGGGCCCAATACAAAAGATTTTTTTTGTTGGATGGATTTTTTTTGTAATCTTCATACAGCTACTTAGTTGTTTTCTATGGAAGAATTCTTTAGTTTTCTTCTCTGAAATAATTCTGATTCAGTAGTATGGAAACTATGAAGATTGGATCTTACTTTATCTGCATGCAAATAACCCAATAATGATCTCCCTTATTTTAACAATGTGGAATACCGTCTTAACAATAAAACGCTGAGAAAACATAGTCATTATTTGGTTTTCTGAAACATTTTAACATATACGTAATAAGTTTGAGCATCTTTTGCTAAATGAAAAGTTAGGTATTGCAGTATTGTTTTGGCCGTTTTCTTTAAATATATATGTTTTTTATTAGTCAAATTCAGAAGGATTTGTTTGGCATTTCAATTGAGAAAAAGATTAACAAAATTTCGCCCAAACACATTCAACGATAAGATTTCTTATCTCTTCTTTTTTAGATTTGAGATAAAAAAAAAAAAAAAACATTGAATGATATTTCTTATCTCTTGTTTCTCAGACTAGAGATAATAAACAATGATAAACTACTCCCCTTTTTAAAATCTCGACTACTATATTGTTCATTGGTTGTTGCATCACAAAACTTTTGTAGACTTTAATGGTTTTGTCGACCTTTTGCATGTGTTTTTTATATAGTTTTCAATGCTACATTTGCTTTCAATCTTCTCTTGATATCTTCTTGTTAACTATGCATTATTGTTTGTATATTGTAAGCAGATGTCAATCGGATCTTTCATAATGGGAGGGATTAGATTGAAATGTACGAAGCTTATATATACATAACAAACCCTCTCTACTACATTTTGTACAACAATGACGATCTCTTTATCACTACTACTACTCGTAACAAACCCTCTTTGTTTCAAAATTAGACAAGTCTTACAGATTTCAATCAAAATCTGCTTGGCTTACATAATAACACAAGACTTACAGATTTCAATCAAAATGATGCTTGTCTAATATAATTACACAAGATTTACAGATTTCAATCAAAATGATGCTTGCATTAAATATTTCGTGCTGCCCAGCCAGCAATATATAGAACTGTTTCACAAGTCTCACAGCTTGCTTACTTTTTCATGCTGCCCAGCCAGCATTATTGAATATCATATCTCAGTGAGATGTATAATGATGTGCCTTTAGTGCCTCATCTCTATCTTTCTCTTTCGTGCTTTGCTCGAGCCTCGACCTATCAAGCGTTGCACAATGATGTACCTTCGCTAACAGGAAGAGCTTCAAGAAGTAGGCACAGAGGATTAACTACATTATCCAATCTTTGAGTCTTATATGAAAGACAAGTTATCCCCATCAATAAGCAGATCATTGAGATTTTATGCAGATCACTGAATTTTACCCCATCAATAAGCAGATCATTGAATATACCTTTCTCAGGACATCATTAGAAAAGCCATAATGAAGGCAGTCCTATGCAGAAACTTGAAGTTTATATAATGCTGCCCAGCCAGCAATATATATATATATATATATATATATATATATATATATATAGAAGATAATCGCAAAGATTTGATCTTTGAACAATAACTTGACAAGACTTACAGTGTTTAATCACAGCTTGCCAGTCTTACGATTCAATTATCCAATCTTTGAGCATAATTAGACAAGACTTACAGTGTTTAATCACAGCTTGCCATCCTTACGATTCAATTATCCTATATTTGAACATAATTTGACAAGACTTACGGTGTTTAATCACAGCTTGTCTGTCTTACTTAGGTAACATCGGGACAATTTTCCCAAGTTAGAATTTAGAAACCGGACAGACACAATCATATAATGTGTAGTCCCTTTCTTTTGGGTTTGAACAAAACATAAAACTTTTTTGAAATTCGTTCGTTTAAAATGAAATCAGAGAATCGATAATAGGGTTTCTAATCCAGATAAACGAAAAACATGATCCATGTACAAGAACTAGAATCTTTCAGAAACGTGAAATAAGAAATCGCAGATTTAAAAGAGGGTTTCTGATTAAGCGGTGAGTTTATCTTTCCAATTTCAAGACAGAGAGGGGCAAAATTTCCCAAAGTCAGTTGGGACAAAAAGCAACAATGATGTGTCCCTCTAATCTTTTGGGTATGAAACAAATGGAAGCTACAATTTTAGAGATTTTACCTGAACAGATTATCTAGACTGTTGCAGAAAGATCCTTTGGAACAATCTGTAACCAATGAGAAGAATGCTTCCTCTGTGAATCTGTCTTATCCAACGAACTTGAACTGCAAAAAAAAAAAAAAAAAAAAAAAACTGTTAAAATAAAACATAAATCTTCGATTACTTGTACCCAGAAAATTGAAAAGAAAAACGAAAGAAAGAACTTAAAAGAAAAAAAAAAACGATTATAGGAATTTTGAAACCTAAGAAGTTGATTTGAAGAAACAAACAGAACTCTTCGATTAATCTTACTGAAATAAAGTAAATCAAATAAAAAAACCCTAAGATGTTAATTCGATTAATTTTACTCAAATCATGTAAAACGAGAGAAATAACTTCAATTAAACGCGATTTTTAAACCCCTAAGAACATTAATCGAAAAGATTTCGAGTAGTTTTACTCAAAATCGAAACTTTGAAAACCCCTAAGAACTTAATTAAACGCAATTTTCGAAACTTTGAAACTCCTAAGAACTTCAATCAAGTAATTTTACTCAAATCGAGAGAGATGATCGATTTTAAAACTTTCACAAAACAAAGAATTAAGGAAACCGAAAACGAAATTCGAAATTCAAAAGAAAGAGAATCGAAACTTACACAGAGTGATTTCACGAATTTGCGACGGAGGAGTTGCAGAAAAATAAAAAATAAAAACAAAATCCTTTTTCTGTGTATTGCGTAACCTTTAGTTCTATAAAACTGAATCAATCAAAAGCTTACCTGTTTCTATAATTCGGAATCTGCGGTACAAACTTGATAAACAGCAACGACAAAGCTCGATCTAAGCAGTATTTCGTTGTTGAAATTCAGATCGAAGATTAGTATGAGAGTTTTCTAGGTTTGGTGTTTCATAGAACCGATAAAGACAATAATGGTTGTTTAGACAATTATCTGTCCAAGAAAAAAAAAAAAAAACAGTATTATTTCAACTGGACCACAATGTATTTAGGCCCAATAGACAGGCTTTTAGATTTTACTGGATCACAGTAATATATTAACGGATTCGCATATTGGCAATTAGATTTTATATGGCCCAAACGTCAAACTTATCAAATTACAAACAAACAATTACTTAAAATATTTATACATATCTAACTTATCTATTTATTCAAAATTTAAATCCAATTTAACATAAAAAAAATTTATTTACGAAATTTTTTAAAAACATAGAAAAATTGAAAATACATTTATATTTTATTATCTATTTTATTATCTGATACCAAAATCTTTTTTAAAAAATACAATAGTTACATACAACAAAAACACATATTTATTGACAACAAATGTTATACAACACATTTTTAAAATCTTAGATCTCACACCAAAGTTAACAACAAACTATGTTCTGGTACGAGTGAAACCACGCATATACTGTATCTATTCAAAACAACTCTTCATAAATAAATTTACAAACAAAAAACAACTCTATACATAAATAATAAACCACAATTATAACCCCCGCACGTATGTGCGGGTCCGGACCTAGTTGATTATATAAGTGGGATCCATAGCCAACGTCACCGCAAAGCCTCAAACGGTTACTTTTAGCATGTGCCGTTTTAATAAATTTGTGCGTGTGAGTGTGAGATACTACAAAAATGCTACACAAATAAATAAATACCTTGAAAGCGACATAAAAAGACAAGATTGAAATTCTGAGATAAGCAGCCAAAAATGAAGATCAAAAACCGAAAATTGGATTTAGTGTTATACACAAAGGTTTATATATATAATTTTTTGTTTTGTATCGGATACGGTTGTGGGCTCAATTCATATTGTTCACACGTTTTTGGGAGGAAATGGCACTAAATCTTTGTTTAGGTAGAAAAAGACATTAAACGGATTGTTCGGGTTGGAATACGCATTTTTTTCTCGTTTTGTCTGTAGGTAATGCCACCTCATCAAACACACGTGTTAGCTAAGTCATCCATAATAATGGTTAACTAACGTCTGTTACCAATGACTATCATTTATGCACATATAGAAGAGTTGAGGTATGATTTTTGAATTTTTAAATCATTTGGGGAGAAAATAGCACTGAGAAAGAAAAAGATACCACACAAATTTTTGAGGTTGAAATACACCCTTTTCCCGTGTGTGAGAAGTGTGAGACGGCAACGTCATAAGCGGAGTTATTAACATTTAAAATATGCGTAAAAAATGATATTAAATTACAAATACATACTTTTATGGACTCTTATTCAAAATTAAAACACGTTGACACATAGTAATTATAAATAAACATGAAGAAAGTTAGTTTGAAGACTAAGCTGTAGAAAACTAATCTTGCATTTTTTCCTTTTCATAGAATCCTTAGCCAACCAACTTTGCGTTGTTTCATTTCCATGAGATCATATTTAATTAATCAAATTTCTTATAATATAGCTCGTTTATGAAATTCAATATACCCTTTATGTGTTTATTTAAAATATAATTTTTTAAAGCTATTTGCTTACTCGAACAACTGGAAATAAGCCACCAGGATAATATATTTTTGTTTTTACCACCAGAATAATTTAAAGAGGGAGACAAGTTGGTAAGTAAAAATTATATATATATGGGGAAATGTTGTGAAATTTTTGCTCTAGTGTTGAAAAGAACCGAAGTATGTACCATGTATAATCTTTTCTAGCTTTGTTTTCATTTTTGTATTTTGTGATAATTTAGTGTTATACTATGTTGCTAAAGTTTAGTTATCAAGTTGATATTAAGAAACACAAACCTTAATAAAGTATTTCTCTCATTATTAATCTTAGCTTAAGAAAACTCTCTCAAAAACTTAAGCTCTCAAACACAAACCAAATCTCTCAAAACAATCTCTTAGCTTTGTCATAACTCGACAAGCTCTATTTATACATAAAACCAAAACCAAATCCTAATAAGAAAACACCAATTAAATCTTCTAGATAAGTCCTAAACCAACTAGGACTTATCTTTAAACTAATATTTGAGCTTATCTCTTCAAGCTTAAACCAACATTCCCCCCTTTAAGCTTGAACTCTTCTTTCTTCAAATCTTGAACACCAATGAGATCTCTCATCTCCTTGAACTTAATCCTCCCAAGTGCTTTTGTTAGTATGTCCGCCTTTTGCTCAATTCCGGGAACATGCTCAAACTCTATTTGACCATTCTCAATATTATGACTATTATCGCTGTAACCTATGAGTTTTGGTAGACTCATTCTCTCAAAACATAAACCAAGTGATGTAGTTCCCTTTAGGTATCTCAGGACCTGTTTCATTGCAGCTCCATGGGACTCTCTTGGACTCTGCATATACCTGCTGAGTATGCCAACACAAAAACTCAAATCTGGCCTTGTATGCAACAAGTAACGCAGACAGCCAACATTCTTCCTATAGCTTGTTGCATCTATCTCCTTTTCATCTTCAGCCTTTGACAGACTCAGTCCCATTTCCATTGGTGTATGCACCGGATTGCAATCTGCCATGTTAGCGTTTTCAAGTATCTTCTGAGCATACCTACTTTGGTTCAACGTTATTCCATACTGATTTTGAACTACCTCAATCTCTAGGTAGTATGTTAGCTTTCCCAAATCACTCATCTCAAACTTAGATGACATCTCCTTCTTGAATTCACTGATGCAGCTTAAGTCTGTTCATGTTACAAACAAGTCATCAACATAGACACCAATAATAAGTAATTGCTTCCCAATTTCTTTTCGATAAACTGATGAACTGCAGCTCAAGGAGAATTAGGTTCAACTTGTTGTTCCAGGCCCGTGGTGCTTGCCTTAATCCGTAAAGTGCTTTATTAAGCTTGTAGACTTTGGTTTTGTTTCCATCCTTCTCAAAACCCTCTGGTTGCAGAACATAAACCGTTTCCTTCAATTCGCCATGGAGAAATGCTGTTTTGACATCTAAATGGTGAATCTCCCATCCATAAGCAGCAGCAAGATCAATGAGGAGTCTTATTGTTTCAATTCTTGCCACATGAGCAAACACTTCCTCAAAATCCACACCATATTGTTGCACATACCCCTTTGCAACAAGTCTTGCCTTATGCTTGTTAATGCTCCCATCTGAGTTCCTTTTGAGCTTAAAAACCCATTTAAGCCCGATTGGTTTTGCTCCTATTGGCAAATCGACAAGATCCCATGTCTTAAGCTTCTCGATTGAACTAATTTCTTCTTCACAAGCTTGTATCCATTCTTTTGATTCTCTAGCTTCTGCAAAATTTCTTGATTCATTATTTAAAGATAACAGCAACAACTCTCCTTCCTCCTCTGCAATCAAAACGTAATCTTCTAGATACTTTGGCATGTGTGTTTCTCTTGTCGATTTCCTTAGCACTGTTGTGCCGTGTGGTGTCGAACGACACACGGTATGTGTGTCGATGGACACATTGTCCGAAAACAATGGTTCAGCTACTGCACCTGGTTCCTGCATTTCTTCAGATTCTTCAGAGTTTTCTTCTCTGTTCTCAGTAAGTTGCCCTGTCTCAACAATTTGATCACTCTCTTGTATTCCATGATTTCCAAAACCATCAAGTCTTATCTTAAAAGTTCCACTCCTATCTTTCTCACTTTCAACATCTCTCCAATTCCATCCTTTAGTTTCATCAAAGATGACATCTCTGCTTACAACAATCTTCCTCATCTGTGGATCAAACATTCGATAAGCTTTTGACCCTGGTTCTGTTCCTAAGTGAACAAGTATTCTTGTTCTGTCACCAAGCTTCTTCAGGTGTGGAGAATCAACTTTTGTGTAACCAAGACAACCAAAGACTCTTATGTGTGCTACACTTGGTTTCGAATCTCTGAAAAGTTCATAAGGAGTTACATCATTAAGAGATCTAGTCGCCACTCTGTTTATCAAATACGTTGAATGCCTGACAGCTTCTCCCCACATGTAATTTGGCATATGCATATGTTTCAGAATACTTCTAGCCATCTCCATAAGTGTTCTGTTTCTTCTCTCAACAACACCATTCTGCTGTGGAGTGTAAGGCGCAGTGAGATGCCTTTTGATACCATTGTTCTCACAGAAAACATTGAACTCATTTGAAGTAAATTATCCTCCTCTGTCAGTTCTCAGTGTTTGTATCTTCTCTTCGACTTCCTTCTCTACCATTATTTTGAAATTCCTGAACTTGACAAAGGCATCTCCTTTATCCTTTAACAAAATCGTCCACATGTATCTTGAATAGTCGTCTATGAGAACAAAGATATAGCGATTTCTTGCACTTGTGCTTGGTGAAATTGGTCCACAAAGGTCACCATGTATCAATTCAAGCTTCTTTTTAGCTCTGTAGGCTGTTGCTTTAGAAAACACTTGACGAGTTTGTTTACCGAGTAAAAACCTTATAAAAACCACCACAATGTTTCTATTTGTGTAAGGTCCACTTTTGTTGGTTCAAATTGTTTCCACGTTTAGGCATTAAAGAATCCACTTCCATATTCCATATATATATTGTAAGTTCTTTTTTGGTCAATACAAAGAAGACCTTGGATCAAAAATATAAATGATGATGATGAGGGAGTTTTGGAGACTTTTGACAACAATCAGTTGTTTGAGTTTCCTATAATATTTGAATGGTGAAGTAATCACGCTTATTTACAATGTTGATTTCTTCACTAGTGTGGGTGCTATGCTTATACACCAATCGTTCTTTATGTACATGTTTTTAGAACAACTCACAAAGTTAAAATCTTCAATGAAAATTTGGTAGCGGAAACATGAAAACAAACAACTGAATCAAGAAAGCAGGAGACAAGAATCATCGCATTGGTTTCGAGCAGAATATTTCTGAATCAAGAAAACAGATAAGAATCAAGAGACTGGACTGCAAATGATTAAAAACCCTACTCAATAGACTTGACAACAAGTTCGGAAAAATTCCC